TCTTTCGGTGATGGAAAAACATGTGACTCATGACAAGCATTTTAATAGCTTAATGTATAGATATATGTAAGGTGACCATACAATTTATTTTTATTTTTTTTTTTGACCATACAATTTATTGTCCAAACCAAGACATATTTGAAAGTGAAAGAGGGCACTGTTAAGAATTATTCTGGGGGCAACAGACTTAAAACAGGATTGTTTTGGCAAACCTAGACAGATCCCTCTAGGTATAAATGTGTGGTTTGTAAATATATGAAGGCAAGCAAGTGAAGAACTCAGCTTCCATCTTTGTAAGATGTATCAAGTATCAACAAATGTTAGATCCTTTAATGTTTTACTGGAAAAGCACTAAGAACCCTTTCAAGTGTGTTATTAGCAACTATCAAATAACCTTTTATTAACTTAGAGCACTGTCTACCCTCCCGGTGTATTGTGAGGTTTCTTCTTTGCGTCAGGTGTCATGAGACTCTTCCTCCTTCACTAACTGCAAGGCAGTTCTGAGTGTTAGGTTGTAGCTGTATCTAAAAGTCACCCTGTAATTGGAGTTAAGAATTTGAGGGTGACTGTTGCTTGACTGCTGGCTGGTTCAGGTTTCAAATGCAGATTCTTATAAAGGACCAAGCCTTATTTTAAAGTCTGAATCTGTGGTCTTTTGTTTATCCACAACTGCAAAGAAGACCAGTGTCTTCCTGGTATCTTGTTTAATTTTTTTCCTGTATGAACTTCCTGATACCATGCACATGGTCTGCCAAATGTACAGCCATGCCATTTTTCATTCAAACACTTACACAAGGGATTTTTGGCATTTAATCACATTCTGGTGTGCTCCCATGTTATGGGGAAACAGATGTTTTGGCTTAGTACCCTCCCAGCAACTCAGCATCCTTCACAAATCAGACAATGGTTGTTTCCATCTGGCTCAGAAGCCCCAGTAGAACTTTTACGCACAGATCACTTCATTATTAACTGTAGTTCTCTGGGTGTTTCTTTAAGTCATGGGCTGCCTTATTTGCAAGAGAGCTGTGAAAGTGTGCCTGTAGCCAACTATTTCCCCATTCTACCTAAAATTCCCTCATTAAGGCTTTATTTTGGAGGCTAAGAAATAAGTACAAGCAACCCCATAGTGGGCTTCCCAGGTGGCACTAGTGGTAAAGAACCCGCCTGCCAATGCAGGAGATATGAGGTGTGGGTTTGATCCCTGGGTCGGGAAGATCCCCTGGAGGAGGGCATGGCAACCCACTCCAGTATTCTTGCCTGGAGAATCCCATGGACAGAGGAGCCTGATGGGCTACAGTCCATAGGGTCGCAAAGAGTCAGGCATGACTGAAGAAGTGACTTAGCATGCACCCAAGACCCCATAGTACTGGTTGCAATAATTTCACTCACTCTTTAGTGTGAAAGTGTTTGATCAGAGAACCCCCAAGCTCTGCCCGAGTTAGCCTTGATGCAGAGGGAAGGGTTTGAAGGCACAGTGGGCTCTCAGTGGAGCCAGAGAGCAGCCTGAGAACTCCTCAAAGACACAATGGCCTCGTACAGTCCTTTGGAATGTGATTTTGTGAGTCCATGGTTCCAACAGCCAAGGGTTCCAATGTGAAGAGTAGGCTATGGTGTTCCAAAATGGCAGCCAAGAAAATAAGTGACCAATGGTGGGTGGGGAAAGTCTAGTCCAACCCCTTCTCCTGCCCTTCTTTTGTATCTAACATCTTCATCTAATTATTCCTGTTTCAGATAACTCAACCCAACCTTGTCTTGGGAAATTTGGCACCAAAAAACTTTGTTTTGTTCCCACCAGGAGAAAGGACTGATGGGATACTGAGGCTCCCATCTCTCAGCATGTTTTGTTTTGTTTTTTTTTTACCAGACTGCAAGGCATGTGGAACTTCTCTGACCAGGGGTCAAACCTGTGGCTCTTGCAGTGGAAGTGCACAGTCTTAACCACTGGACCACCAGAGAAGCTTTCAGCGTTTTTTTAATCTTCAAACTCTGTTCAGGCCTCCCAGTGAACTGCCATCTGCCATGAAACACAAGTAAAGAACAAAAGCTGAGGATTTTTTGCCATTTTTTTAGTGGCTAAAGCCTCACCCCAGCCACTATGGAAGAGGTCCTCCCACCAAACTCCCTCTTCTTTGAAGAAACACAACTGAGACCAAGCGAGAAGTAGCTATAGTTTAATACAAACCTGCACCAGAACACAACGAGTCGGGCTGTTTTGTGTTTGCCTCAATCGGGTGGCCAAAGCACAAGACCATGTGCTGTCCTGGGGTTGACACAATCTTAGCACCATGACGTTTACAGAGGAGTGAGGGAGTCACTTGGGTGCTGGGGTGTTCGAGGCTCCATCCCGACCCCAGGCTGTGCCCACTGCCTGGGTAGCTGGAGGGGGTTTGGGTTTCCGAGTGGTTTCTGGGTCAGTATTGGAAAAGCCCTCATCTCGGCATTGTCTTGACCGAGACCTACTGTGGACTCCTAGCACTACACACACGCACACATACACACGCACACACAGTAGCACAATTTTCTGGTAACTTAACCCCACAAACCTAGAGAGCAGCTAAGGCAAGAACAACAGTATTTATTCAGCAAGTACAAGACCAAGTTTGAGAGCTGCATTCAGTGCAACCAGAGACCCTTTTCATTCCAACCAGGAGCCGGTGGGGCTGGTGATGGGGCTGGCTGGAACTCAGCACAGGGGCAGGGAATGGGTGACAGGGCTGACCTTTCATTCGGTTCCTTGAACCTCCTTCTGATTTTCATCTAGATGCTCCTGGGCAAGGGTGGGTCTATGTAAGGGTCGGGGGTGAATGAAGTGGAAGGCCCTTGACGGACCATACCAACAGGTGGTCTCCCAGAGCCACGGACCACGCATCTCTCGGGCGGAGGCACTCAGAGAAGGTAAAGCTTTCCTGGCCCAAGCAGGGATGCTCTGCCCACTGGCTATCACCACTGCTTGGCTCTTTGGCATCTGCCCAAGGCCCATGACCCAGCAAGGGCTGAAAGGGATAAAGATGATGTGCACTGTACCAAGGGATGTGTCACGGTTTCCCAAGCTCAGATCCCTGCTGACTGTTCCCATGGCTACCACTCTCCATGAGTGCCTTTGCTGCCTCTGCTTCCTGGGTGACCGTCTGGGTCCTCTCAGCCCCTAAGTGAGGAAGGGGAGCATGAAGGGAGGGGTGAGGATGTGGAGGCAGCTCAAACCACACGGCAAGCCTCCAGCATGTAACTAGTTCTGGCTCAAATAGTGAATATGCATTAGTTTGTTTACAAGAAAAATCTATCTACCTGTGCAAAACAAAGCAGAATGCCTACTGGGGAGTAAGTCATCTAGCTGGTTAAACTCTCAGGGGGGATCTGAAAGAGATGTCACTCCACTCCTTCTGTCCACCGCTGGGGTAGACAGCCAAGTTCTAAATAGGGCAGTTTGGACCGTTCTGGAGTCAGAAGGCCTGAGCTTTCTGGGCCACATCTGAGAAATGGGGAGAATAATGCATGCTTTGTGGTTGTGAGGAGCAGTTGAGAGCTCATACATGAAAGGGCTTTGAAAACATGAAGAGCACTGCAGAAATGTGCAGGGTATGACCACCGGCGCAAGAGTCCAGGAGCCGCGTGTCAGCCCAGGTGCAATGTGACGTCACTCCCCAAGGGGAACAAGGCTTAGCAAGGGCAGCCTCTAGTGTTTCCATGGAAACCTCCTGGAGTTTTGGAGGCAGGGAAGGCCCAGCTGAGAGGAGATGGAGACCACAAGCAGGTGAAGGCAAGGTGCTGACCACGGCAGCCCGCAGATCCTGTGTGGCACTGTTGGCTATAGCCAGGTCCTACTGGCCTGGCCTCCTACCTGGCATACAGCCAGCCTGCTCCCCCTATCATGCCCCCCCACCCCTTAGCAGGCATGAGGCCTCTTGCCAATCACACAGAAGGAGCAACTGGGCCTCTGTACAGCAGGGGGATACCTACAGGCAGTTGTGTGTGTGTGAGTGGGGGGGGTGGTGAGTGCTGGGAGTGACCAGGACCACACATGGGAAAGGCCACCTTGATTCCTGAAGGTCTCTAGGGCCAGCACATCGGGCACCCTCTCAGGATGCAGGAAACCAGGAGGGGAGGGGGGGACAGGAAGACTCCAGATAGGGAGAAGAGGGGCCCCGAGAGTCCAGTATCCCCCTCTGGCCCCTGTCCTTGGTGCCCTAGGCTGTCTGGTTGGTGGCGAAGCAGCATCTCTTAAGGTCCACATCTATTCCTGTTTCTATGCTATGCTAGTGACACAAAGCACCGTCAGTTTTCACAGGATGCACAAACAAGTCAAACCAAACCACTGCGCAAACCAAACGTGCAAAACGAAATCATATACACGCGCCTGGCACCAGCCTCATGCCCGCCCGGCCAGCCCTTCTGGGCCTGGGACTGCCGGGATTCAGGGAGGAGGCAGCCAGCAAAGGGCGCAGCATGTCCCAGCCACTCCCAAACAGGGGCAGGAGTTGAATTGGGAGAAACGGGAGGTCCTGGGGCACGGCTGGGATGCGAACACCTGTCTGACTTGGGGAAAACGACCACAGGGCCAAAGGGGATCGGGGAGGGGGTCCTTTTCTTTTAAAACACGTCTGCTAAAGTGCTCTGGACAACTGGCGGGTCAGCCAGGGGCAGGGCACTAAGGGCGGGGTTGACCAAGGCCAGCAGGGGGCGGGTGCGAGGGAGGGGCGGGGCCAGGCTCTATGCAAGTGGGCTCTGTGCATAGTATGGGCTTCCTGGGCCCCAGGGAAGCCCGCGGGGGCCGAGGCAGGAAAGGACTGCAGCAGGAGGAACACATCTCAAAGTGCCTGTTAGGGTTGGCTCGAAGCACAGTGAATCACGTGTCAGACATGGGGAGGGCCCCGGGGTCCCGGGGCCCCTCGGGTGGTGAGCTGTCCAGCGCGGCCTCTCCCGCCCCACCCCTGCAGCTGCGGCCGGAGGGCGTGGGGCTGGTGGCGTTGGTGCATCTTCACTTGGGGGGCTGGGCAGTGTCTTTACCAAATGCCGCTTGACCTGCCTCCGGGAGGAGCGAGAATCCGAGCCGAGGCTCGCTTTGGAACATGGTCATCGATCTGAGAACCTGGAAGGAAGGAAGCAGAGGGTGAGTTCCCCTGGGTAATAAAACCGGGTCCTCCCATGCTCAGATTTAATTTAACCTTCAACACAATACCATCCCATTTTACAGGTGGGAAGACTGAGGCTCAGGGAAGTTAACTTGCCCCCTGTCCCATAGTGTATGAATGTTTTAGAGCCTGTACTTGAACCCAGGTCTTTCTGATTGAGAGCCTCCACAGTTAACTCACTCCCTTGCTACACCTGCCTTCACCACTCCCAGCCCTGGAGGTATTGTCTCTTGTCAAGCACACAGACCGCGGAGCCGCCTGTTAGAAAGTGGGCCTTTGTACATATGACTCAGTGAACAAGAGAGGGAGGAGGGGGCGCCGTTGTTTTGGAAAAACATAGAACAGCTCCCCCAAAGGCCCCCACGTCTTGAAATCTCGAGGCTTAGAAAAGAAGTCCTGGTGCCCCAGGGAGTGCCATGGAACATTCTTCCGCCTGTCTCACCGCAGACAGGGTTTGAGGCGAGGGAAGGTGAGAGGCTGCCTGGTGTCTGCTGCACCTGAGAGCGGTTCTGTCCAGTCTTGGCTCTACCCGGACTTGGGTGGGAGCAGAAGCCAGGGGCTCGAGGGGACTGGCGCCTCTGGAGCCTGGCCGCTTCTCTTGGGGCTGACCCCTGCTGGAGGGGCCAGGCCCAGGCAGCCGTGGGGAGCGACACCTCCTGGATTGGCCAGGCGGGGGCGCTCAGGGACACTCCACACGGCGGACCTCTTTCTGACTGCACTCCCATCACTGGTGGGAGTTTTAACAGCGGCCCTCAGGGTGAGGGAGAAATTATCTCTGTAGTGAGATTGGCTCTGAGATGATGGGGGAGGGGAGGGGAGAGGACCCCCCCCCCCGTCCCCGCCCCCGAAAATGGCCGGTCAGCAACTCAGACAGGAGCCACCTGAGCTGCTCTCAGCACACCGTTGGGCACAAAAGAAGCTCAGCGGCCAGCCGTGCCCCTTGGCAGCCCTAGGTTTAGCTCTTTGCCTCTCAGGTTAGGCCGGTTTGTGGCGGAGTCTCCCCGGCCCCAGGAGACGCCATGCTCTGTGCGGAGGCATGTGGATCTAGGTCCTCTCACCCTCTGGCCCCCGCACAGAGCCTGCAGAGCAAAGGCTCGGTCTGAACGCGGGCCAGTCCTGGAGGCCACTCAGCAAGACCCGGCCCTGACCCATTTTACATGGGGCTCACGCTTTCCAGTGGAGAAGGAAATGGCACCCCACTCCAGTGTTCTTGCCTGGAGAGTCCCAGGGACGGGGGAGCCTGGTGGGTACCGTCTCTGGGTTTGCACAGAGTCGGACACGACTGAAGCGACTTAGCAGCAGCAGCACGCTTTCCAGCAAAGCTGCTTGCAGGTCTAGGGCATCTTACGGGCCTTTCTGCCTGTTCTCCAGGGAGGCTTGTGGCTTATGCCTGCAATGACCCCCACCTTTAACTACCACTGAGCACCTGGGAGGCATATAGCCATCAGCAATAAAGTCTCTAAGCATAGACTCAGCCATACATTTCTGATGGTATATTCTATACAGGACAACTCCTGGCAAGAAAGAAGGTGGCAGAGAAGCAAACAGGCTAAGATGAGGGAGGAGAGGGTATAAGGGAAACACCATGTCTTTCAGAGAGGCTGGTGAGGATGGGGTGGGAAACGGGGGTGCAGACCCATGTGGCACAGTTAACCCTTCTGAACTCTGATCATCTCTAGGGGCACCCTAAGTGCCGGGCCCTCAAGATGTTTCAAGGGATGAAAACATTTGAACTTAGTAACCGTGGGGCAAGCCCCAGAAGAGCCGTGGCCGGGTGGAGTGGCAGGTACCTGTGGACTGGGAGAGCCCTCCTTTCCCATCCCCAGTATTTATGTGTCTCTAACAGGGGACCCAGCACTCATCACCAGGCAGGGGATTGGAGACGGAGGGAGGAGGTGGAGGAAGCCCCCCACCTGGCCCCTCCGCCCGTCTCCCTACACCCCACTGTGGTGGAGACCCAAGTGCCAGGCCAAGTGGCCCTTGCTCTTACCAGAAAGGCTGAAGCTGGATTCATGAAGGTCCCTCATGCCTCCGTGTCGGGTGACAGGCCGGGTTGGAGTGTCTGCCAGCGGCGTTCCCATCTCTTTTTTCCCAGGATGCACAATGACAGCTACATCCCCCAGGTAGGGCGTGCGGTCCACTCCCCTCACCTTTAAGGTCTGGTGATGGCAGAGGAGAAAAAGGGAAAAGATCATACCATCAGAGCACGGACACAATCAACCATCAGGGCCAAAAACCACCACCACCAGAGCTTCCCTGATGGCTGATGAGAGTCTAGACACTGCCACTGTTCAGAACCCAAATTACTGCACGTGACAAAGCCTTCCTACATCTTGAGCCCAAGGGTAAAGAATCCTCTTGTACTTCCTAAGCAGGGCATATGTGTGAGCGTGTGCAGGTATGTGCATAAAGGAGATATCCACTGGCTCCCCCTTGACACTGCTTTCCAAGACAGTAGGTAGGCTTTGGAGATACTCAGCTTTAGAGAGCATCCCTCACATGGAGCAGTGATCCCTTCACTTGCCAGGCTCTCAAGCTGTTGTTGTTGTTCAGTCGCTAAGTCATGTCTGACTCTTGGCGACCTCATGGACTGCAGCATGCCAGGCTTTCCTGTCCTCTGCTCTCTTCTGGAGTTTGCTCAAATTCATTTCCATTGAGTTGGTGGTGCTATCTAACCATCTCATCCTCTGTCTCCCCCTTCTCCTTTTGCCTTCAGTCTTTCCCAGCCTCTGGGTCTTTTCCAATGAGTCGCCTTTTCACATCAGGTGGACAAAGTACTGGAGCTTTTGCTGGGATCGATCTGACAACTTTGTAGGAATAGAGATAAATACAGCTGATTTGAAGATTAGAATTCCCCACTAGCAATAGTAGTTAATTTTGTACTCACAAAGGCAGTAGAATTAAGAGCCTATATTCTGCAACCAGACTGCTTATGTTTCACTTCCAGCTTTGTTACTTGGAAGCTGTGTGACCTTATCCAAGTTAAGTAAACTTTCTGTGCCTGTTTTCTTATTTGTAAGACTACAGAGTTGTTATGAGATCAAATGAAATAGAACCCGTAAAGCTCTGGCATATGGTGACACAAAAGTACCAGCAGTTGTTATTATTGCATAGGTCATTTATGGGGCTTTATAATTTTAAAGTGGTATTGTGAGAGTAAGTGTGTTGGAGTGTGTGCATAAGATCTGAAGGAGCAGCGTACATAATCTACACCCCAGGCACTCATCAAAGACAGAACCTCAATCTCCTTGCTGCTCAATGCTTATTGAAAACCTTGTTGAGAGAAACAATAGATATGGGTGATTTCTGGAATGCTCCTCAGCTGACATATTCCTTTGTATTCTCCAACAGATCTGTAGTTGAGCTCAGCCCTCAGAATGTCAAAGCTGGTTTGGAGTGTTTTAGCCTTTACCAGGCAGCACTTTGGGGTCTGGCTGGTGTAGGTGGGAATACGGACTCAGTGAACCCTGGGTGAGTGACCTAGTCCCAACCCCAGGGCTGCTTTCTCCCTGAGGACCTTGCTCTAGGGACTGCTTATTTATAATTTGGGGGAGATGAGGTTTTTCGCATACCTGTATTCTATTGCCTGCTCAGTCACTCACTTGTGTCCGACTCTTTGCGACCCCATGGAGGTGTCCCAGGCAAGAATACCAAAGTGAGTTGTGATTGCCTCCTTCAGGGGATCTTCTCCACCCAGAGAGTGAACTTGTGTCTCTTGTATCTCCTGCATTTTGGTGGATTCTTTACTGCTGGGCCATTGGGGAAGCCCTGCATTCTGTTACATAAGGGCTATACGGGAGAATAGGAAATAGAGATGGCTTTTTCTTGAGGACCTTACTTTGTCATTATAACAAGTGCTTTGGATAAAGGGACTCTGAGTTAAATTTACGTCAGCCCTAGAAGCTGGGCTCTTTCACTGTGGCTGGCCCTCAGAGCAGCACAAACTGGTATCTGTCTGACATTTTGTGAGGTTGGCTTTGTGAAGGGCTTCAAACACTTTCTCTGCCCTCTTTTGACCCTATTTCCTGACTAAACTGTCCTTTTTTTGGGAAAGTCACAGAACTATTGACAGCTTTTTTTTAAATTGAGATATAATTCACATACCATAAAACTCACTATTTAAAAGTATACAGTATAGTTGTGTTTAGTGTAATTCACAAGGTTGTGCCACCATCACCACTGTGTAAATTCAAAATATCTTCATCACCCCTCAAAAATCCTGATACCCATGAGCAGTCACTCCCATTCTCTCTGACCAGCCCTAAGCAACCACTAGTCTATTTTCTGTCTATGGATTTGCTTCTTCTGGACATTTCCAACAAATGAAACCATATAATATGTGGTCTTTTGTGACTGGATTCTTTCACTTAGCATAATGTTTTTAAGGTTCATGCAATGTTGTATACAGATATTAGCACTCCATTCCATTTCATGGCTGAATAATATTCCATTGTATGGCTATATTAACATCACATTTTGTTTATTCAATAGTTGATGGGCATTTGAGTTGTTCCCAGTTTTTGGCTATTATGAAAAAAATTCTGCTATCAACATTCATGGATAAGATTTTTTGCAGATATATATTTTCATTTCTCTTGAGGATGTCCATACCCAAGAAAGGAATTGCTGAGTTATTTTGGCAACTCTATAACTTTTTGGGAATCGCCAAACTGTTTTCCAAAGTGGCTGCACCATTTTACATTGATTTTACAGTGAATGAGTGTTCCGAATTCTCTACATCATCACTGACACGTTTTCCATTTTCTTATTTTAAGTCATTGCCACCCTCTGTCAGATAATCTTGTGTGTGAATGGATCACTTTTCCACCTCTTTCTGGCACGTCCTCCAGAGGTGGGGCTGAAGCCTCCTGCCACTGTCCCTATCTGGGAAGCATAGTGGAGATGGGACCCTTCACCTACCTGAGAGATCCTGAGTCTGCCTTCAGATTGAATACTGGGATAACTACAGTCATGCTTTGTTTGGGTAGTCCAAGTCTGCTCCCCGACAGAAGACCTGGATTGGGGCTGGGACTCCTAGGCCATTGGTCATGGTGTTTCTGAGAACACCCACCATTTCTGGACAGAATCTGGAGATAGCTAGGCAGCAGCATTTTGAACCATGATGATAGTACTTTCTGCCAGAGGGGAAACCGCATGATGCTTCCACCTGTCAGTTTGTCAGACTTGTTCTTTTCTGATGATTTGGGTCCTCCACCATGAGGCCAGGGCTGCTATTGGTTCCCAGCACCTAGAGATAACAGGAAGGCCAGGGCAGCCCTCAAAGATAAAGCTGGACAGTCAATCCCAGAGCAGCGAGGGAAGAGCCAGTTGTTTTGGGTGAAACTCTCCCCAGCGATCGGTATCCCTGGAGATGAGGAAGGAGCCTCAAGCTTCACTGAATAGCTAGGGTGCTAATGGAATCCAAGGACTGGGTGAAATTCTCAAGATAAGACCTCAGGCTACCCCCACATGGCAGTGAGCTATTCCAGACCTGCCCTGACCCCTTCAATGTTGGAGACTCAGCAAAGCCCACCCCCTCCATAGCAGACACAGGGCAATTGTGGGGAGTTTTGGGAAACAGGATCTCCAGTGCAAATATGCTAACCCTGGCTAAGCCAGGAGCCCCCTGCCCTGAGGGACCACAAGAAGCCTGGGTGTCGGGAGTAGCTGTGAGCACCTCATAGTGTCCCCAGCCCCAAGGGACTTGGGGACCCTTCCCAATAAATTTTACTCTGTTACAGGCACTCCTTTTCTACTATTTTGATTGTTCCCAAAGTGACTATTCAGGCAATAGGATTCTGGTGGAAAAAACAGAGTGAGAACATCTTTGAGATTTACAATAATCATATAAGAAGTCACCAACAGGGGTCTTCAACCCCTTCCCTCATGTATTCTCTCCTCTCCCTCACCATACCTTTTCTCTCTGGACCAGCTTCTTGTAGACAGTGTCTGGGAAGGACCGCAGGGGACAGAACTTGCCGGTGCCCTCAGCACACATGAAGACGCCGTTCTCGTACACGACCCGGCCTCGGCTGATGGTGACCAGCGGGACGCCGTGGCAACGCATGTTCTCGTATAGGTTGAAGTCTCCTCCCTGCACCTGGGTGCTGGCGGAGATGGTCCTGGTGGGAAGGCAGTGGCGGGAGAGAATGCTATGAGAGGAGGTAAAGATGTCACAGCTCAACGGAAGGGAAGGTGCTCGGGGAAGAGGTGATGATGCTCAGTGGAAAGGAAGGACTCCCAAAGGCTAGAATGAATTACGTCACCACAAATTTATCTGTTGAAGTCCCAGTCCCCAGTACCTTAGAAGGTGATTATATTCAGAGATAAGGCCTTCAAAGAACTAATTAAAGTGAGGTCATATAGGTGGGCCCTAATCCAATCAAATGGGTGTCTTTATAAGAGGAAATCGAGACGTCAGAAGTGCATACACAGAGGAAGTGCCGTGTAGAGACACAGGGAAGAGATGACCTCTACAAACCAAGGGCCTCAGAATGAAATCAGCTCTGCTGACACCTTGATCTTGCCTTCAGGACTGTGAGAAAGTGAATTTCTATTGTTCAAGCCTCCTGTCTGTGGTATTTTGTTATGGGAGCGCCCTAGCTGACTAACATACTGGGCTACACTCTAGGGGTCTTTCTGCCAACAGCAATCACTAACAGCCAGACCCACAAGAGCAACAGGGACCAGCCCCAGGCTGGATGCAGAATCTGACTTCTGAAGTGCCCTAATGGAGAAGTAGGGCAGGGATCTGGGCAAGGGGCTGGGCGGTGGTACACAGGGAGAATTTTTCTGCCGTTCAACTTTTTACCTTCAAAATCCCAGCACATTTTTGTCTTGTTCACTGTTAGCTTGTGCATCTAGAAAAGTGCTTGACAAATGGTAGCACTTAACAGATATTTGTTGAGTGACTGAATGATGTTTAGTATTAAAAAACTGGTCAAATCTCTGAGTAAAGATGATGCCCTGTATCCTGCAGCTTGGTAATTCCTGGTGCATTTCATTTGTTCACTCAAGTTGTGTTCATAAATGCTGTGGGTGTCAAGTGCTGTGTGCTTGAGAGAATGCACACACACCCTCAACGAGGAAAGCAGAGGGTTGGTGGAAGAGTCTGGAACTGAGTGTCAGGACATCTGTCTGGTTCGCCTCTTATTAGCTATGTGATATGGGGAGTCCCTCTACTCTGCTCTTGGTTTCTTCAGTGAGTGATGCTCGCTCAATTGTGTCTGACTCTTTGTGATCCCATGGACTGTAGCCTGCCAGGCTCCTCTGTTCATGGAATTCTCCAGGCAAGAATACTAGAGTGGGTTGCCATTTCCTTCTCCAAGTTTTTTCCATAGTAAAATGGAAGTAAGAACTCCAGCCTTGAGTGCTTCTCAGGGCTGTGAGATTAGCAAATAAGATCATTGATGTGATGCAGCTGTGAGAAACTGTAAAGTGCTATGCACATGGAGCTTGCCCTGTAGCAAGTCTTCAGACCTTCTTGTTCACTATCGCATCCTTAGTGCTTGGACCATGGGAAACCCTCAAGTATTTGTTGAATTGAACACATCTCAGGGACATCCTGCTCTATGCTAGAAGTAGGGCAAAGATGATGCTTTGGAGTTCTATAACACAAGGTCTTTAAAAACCCCATCCTCCAGCCCTGGAGACAAGTAGCAGGCTTTACTTGGTGGCTTCAGGGTCCCACACCACCACATCGGCATCAGCTCCAGGGATGATGCGGCCCTTTCGGGGATACAGGTTGAGAATCTTGGCTGCATTGGAACTGGTAACGGCCACAAAACGGTTCTCATCCATCTTTCCTCCAACCTGAAACATGGCCAAAGTGTCAGGTCAACCAAGGTCCTGTGTGTGTGCCTCACACCCCCGTCACCGTTGTGCGCTTTTAGTTGGTCCGAACAATGGTGCTGAGAAGGACAATGCCATGGACATCATCTCAAATGAGACAATCTGCATGGCTTGGTTCCCACGTGCTCATTTCCTCCTCTCTCCTGCTAGTAACAGTGGTGGGTGGGCCCTTCTTCCAAATAGTGGCTTTCTTGGGGCAAATCTACCTCCTGTTTGTAAAATCAGATCTACTCATGTGCTCACTATGGATAAATTGGGAGCTTTCCTAGATCTACAAAGGGACATATATTCTGTGCTGGAAAGGCATCTTGTAGCCCCACCCACGAGTGCACCACGGACATTCTTCAAAGGGGATTCCTAGAAATTCCCTGGTGGTCTAGGTGTTAAGAATCGCCTCCAATGCAGGGGACATGAGTTTGATCCTTGGTTGGGGAACTAATATCCCACATGCTGCTAAGCAAATAAGCCTGTCCACCCCAACTAAAGAGAAACCTGTGAGCCATAATGAAAGATCCCAAGTGCCTCATCCAAGACTCGGCAAAGCCAAATAAATAAATAAATTTTAAAAGGATTCCTGAGCTGCCTCAGGGTCTTCCCTGAGCTGGTGGCTTAGCCTTGTGTATTTCAAATTTCCTCGGGCTCATCCCCTAAAACTGCACCTAATCTGTGATAGGTCAAGACCAAACTACTTATTCTTCAGGGGCAGAACAGGTAGTATTCAAATGAAGCCCTAGTCTCTGTCTTTACTATTGGACAAAAGATCCCAAGAACCTTAAAGAAAGTTCATATCCCCTGGCCCAGAAATCCATTTCTAGCAATATGTCCTCAGGAAATAATTAGAAATGCTGACATACACTCATGAACAAAGAAATTCTGTGCAGTGTTATTGGTAAGTGCAGAAATTTGAAGCAGTTGAAAGTTTCAAACATCAGGGAAGCCGTAACTGAATATGGTGCTTCCATGGACGGAAATCTTGTTTAGTTATTAACAAAGACGTTTTTAAAGAACTTTTACTGATATAGGAAGACAGTCAAAATACACTGTCATATGAAAAAAACAAGATAAACCTAGTAATTAAAATAATGTATGCTGCATGCATAGAGCTTGGGAAGAAATATACCAAAATATTAACGATTTCCTCAGTATGGAATTATGTTTTTTTCCTAGTACTTTTCTGTATTTTCCAAATTGTCATGCTAGGACTTCTTACTTTTCTGATCAGGAAAATAAAAAAGACCTTTTCTGTTTTGTTTTTGAGTGAAACAGGAGCTGTGGTTGACCCAGCCCTCCTAAGTGTGAAAATTCTTCTGTGGCCCAGCGCGGGGTGGGGTCCTGGGAACGTACCACGCCTCTCTCCCAGATGACGCTCATACGGTCCTGAACCCCGGTCACACCGTGTGGGATCTTGGTGAAGTCCTCCTTGCCCATAGCTTTCTGCTTCGTGGTGAAAGGCCGGTGATCTGACGCCACAATGTTCAAAGTATCACTGGGTAAAGAGAAGGACATGACTAGTAAGGGGAGGGGAGGCCAGGGTCCCAGAGGGTGAGGACAGTGATGGGAAAAAGCCTTCGCTTGGTAACCTGGCAAAGCTGGTTTCAGTCTCCGCTCTGATACTTCAGAGCTGTATGACCTCTAATGAGTTAATCTGTGAGAACCTCAGTTTACACATCTGCAGAATGGGAATATGTGCTGACCATGGCACAGAATGCCAGGGTCACAGAAGACATCGAGAGTAGTCTTTGAGATGTTGACTTTAAGAGTTAAGAGAATGAACAGAGAAAAATTGAACTTAAGGGTTTAAAGTGAAAGGGTGGAGGAAGTTTTACTTCCCCAGAAACATATACCAAGTCCCTCTCATCTCCCTGCTCAACCCCCACCAGGCCCTGCTGGCAACAAGCACGTGCTTGGTGAAATACTCAAGTTCTATGTTAAGCTTTGTGGGAAGAGGATGGACAAGATAGAAGAGAAGTCTGGCTTGATGAGCCAGCGATGACACGGCAGTGGGTCATCGCCGTTGCCATCCATGACCATGGTCCTCAGATGGTTGCTGAGGCTGTGGTAGGTGAGGCATGGCCGGGCTCTTGAGGGGCTCCTGGGCCAGCTCAGAACTCAGGGTGGAGACTTATGTCGGTGAGAGTTCACATGGTGGCAGACCCTCTGCCTGATGAGGCAGGCAGATGGCTGGCCCATGTTCAGAGATCTCTGTAGGCCTCAGAGGTGGTGAGGCAGAGCGGGGAGGGATGCCTCCATTGCCCAGACCAGGACAGGCTCAGGAGGAAACACGCTAAGAGGGCAGGGAGGGGCCTAGCTGGAACCCGGGGACCTGGTGGGAGAGGGGATGGCACAGCCGGGGCCCTGCCTGGAGTCTAGTTTAACTTGTAGGAGTTACCAAGCCTTGTGTGTGCATGTGGGCCAACCAAGATGCCATCCTCAGAGTGGAATCTTTGAGCAGAAGGCATTATTTGGCTTGGTGAGGAGGCATATTCTTAATGCTCTCAGACATTCAGGGTCAGGCTGCACATGGGGCTGCCTCCACTAGGGGCCTGGCAGGGCTTTCCCCAAATGACTACTATCCTTGGCAAAATCCACAGTGACATGACTTAGTTCCTCCGTGGCAGGGGCTCGCAGCTTCCGGCGCCAAAGATGCTGCTGTGGCCCCCCTGAGAGACTGCAGGAGGGCCTCCTCCACTGAGCAGATGGTTTGTTTTAGTGTTCCCAGAGACCCCCACCTCCCCCAGACCCACAGAACCTGCCAGCGATGAACAGAATCTTCAGTTTTCACTTTCTGGTGTTCTCCAGACCCCTGGGTGCGGCTCAGATCCGAAAATGCTCATCAGAGTCAGGGGCTGAGGACCCATGGACCCCAAGCTTTAACTGACAAGTCTAACTGAGCCGTCGCCTTTCATAAAAGACCCATACACGACTAAGTGTTTGCTAGGCAGGAGTGAATGAGGGGGGCACATTCCAGAAGGGCTTTTGGGGACCCCCCAGTGCTGCCAGGAATCTGGGAGATATGACACATCCATCCCTACTCTTTAAAACATCACTGTTTAACATCACTAACTTTTGTTAAAAACGTGCTGACCTGTGCTTAGTCGCTCTGACTCTTTGAGTCGTATCTGACTCTTTGTGACCCGATGGACTGAAGCCTGCCAGGCTCCTCTGCCCATGGGGATTCTCCAGGCAAGAATACTGGAGTGCGTTGCCATGTCCTCCTCCAGGGGATCTTCCAATCCAGGGATCGAACCCAGGTCTCCCACATTGCAGGTGGACTCTTTACCGTCTGAGCCACCAGGGAAGCCCACTTAAAAAATATGTAAGTTCAAATGAAAGAATTTCTGGTCTCTTTAAGAAGTCAGATTTTAAATAAAGGACAAATCCTGACATCTACAGATTGTACTTTTTACCCTGATATACCTGAAAGATCATATCCTAAAATAGATCATTATAAAGCAGCTCATATTTTCTTATAGAAATATGTTAATTAGTGCGTGGGTTTTCTATCAAGTACTTTGCATAATACCAATTATCACTAAAATGTCATTAAAGCAAAATTATAGTAATCATGAATTACTAAAAATGTTAAAAATATGCTCCAAATTCTATAAAATTATACAAGTTTACAATATGCACTGATATAAAATGGATTCAAACTATTCTCATTATTACTCACATGAAATTATAATTCTTTTTAAATGAATAGAATTTAGTTAAATAATTTAAATACATTTGACAAAATAAGCTAGAAATAAAAACTTGAAATTATTCAATTAATAATACTTTTCTTCCTCTGCCTATTTAAATTTGTATGGGTTTGGGCACTGTAATTTGGGTGAGTTGGGGAATTAATTACCTTTTTGTTCTTCCTGTAAATTTGCTTGTGAGGTATTTCGAAAGATTCTTTGACCTTGGAACAGAGCCCAAACTATTATGGGTTCTTGATACTGGTTTGTTTTTGTTATGTTGATAATAGTGAAAAGGAGGCTGGTTTTTCCCCCAAACAAGCATTTTTAAAAGTAAGAGCTGATCTAGCATTTCTCCCTTTACTTTCTCAAATTGGTTAAAACTCTCAGAGCTGCCACTGCTCAGAATCTTAGCAATTTATGGGACAGACTATAATTACTGCCACTGTGCCAGAGCATATCCTACCCCTCCAGGGGCCACTGTGGCCCCAGAACCCTACCACCTGCACTCCAGTCATATTTGGAAAGCCCCACAGTGCTCTGTAGGTTCTTAACAGAGCAAGATGTTGAGTGGAAATTTTTCAGTTGTTAGTCAACCAACCAGGACTGGAAACTAAGGACATGGATGATATAAATACCCCATTAGCTAATGACAGCCACCTCCAACTGGGGCTAGTCACTTCCCTCAACACCCCCAACATCATCCTAGCAGAAGTGTATCATCGCCCCCATGTCTATAAAAGCAGAAGACAGGGAGGGCAACTGAGGTGTTTGGTAGAATGGAGAGTCCTGTGGTCTTGCCCTTCTTCCTGTTTTCATGAGTTGAATGGTACTTTCCCTCTCCCCCAACTAGTCTACCTGAGTCAAGAGGGGACATTTGAAGAGGTTCACCTGTGAAGAACAGAGGCGAAAGGAGCAGGCCCCTGCTTGGAAGATAGGTGGGTGGGCCTGCCTGAGCCTCTGAGTGAGGAGAGCCAGGTCATGGGGGTGGGGCAGCCTGTAATCCCATCAGAGGGAGGCAAAGCTGCGTGAGCCTCCTCTAGGCCCAGACTCTGCAGAATGTGATGGGGCTTAAGTTCTTGTTCACAGGGAAGCTGGGAAGGGGCAGGTGAGAGGAGGTAAAGATGGGGACTCCCCTGGTGGTCCAGTGACTAAAACATTGCATTTCCATAGCAGGGGCTCTGGGTTCGATCCCTGGCCAGGGTACTAGGTCCCACTAAAGATACCACATGCCATAAGGAAGATCAAAGATACCGAGTGCTGCAACTAAGACCCAGCAAAGCCAAAGAAATAATTTCTTTTTTAAAAGAAGAAGTCAAGCTGGATTCCATCTTCTGTGTCAGAGGACGGCATGAGAGTGGCTCAAGAGAGCCCTTATCTGGGCACATACCCTGCACAAGGAGGGCCCCAGAAGCCAATCACCTTCTTCCAGAGAAGAAGCAGCATCAGTTAGTACAGGGGTACAGGCCATGCTTGGGTGTGGAGCAGTGTCCCCCACTCCTTTAATCCTAATCCCCACCAAATTCCCCAAGCTGAGAGTCAGGAGGAGAGGAGACTGACTTTTAAACTGAACTGGACTTTAATAACCAAAAGGGAAGAAAAAGCAATGGTTTTTACCATTACCTAAGGGTTACTAGAAGCAAGAAAGAATTTGCAAGCCGGTACTGGAACCAAACAAAATCTTTCTATGTTTGTGTCCCACCAAAATCAGACCATCCATTGAAGCATATTATCTAGATTCAGATTGAATGGGAAAAGCAGTTTTGGAAAAACAGGAACTGGAGAAAAGAAGGTCTGGAGGAAGAGGTTAAGGAGAAAGAGGGAGAAGGTGTGGAAGAAAAAGGAAAAGAGGAAAGAAGGGGGGAGCAACACAGAAGAAGGGAGGGACACACAATGAGAGTAACCCACGTAGGAAACAATGAGAGGGGGAGGTGAAGGAAAAAAGGAGAAAGATCCACAAATATTCTCAGCTAAGTCAGAGTCTACATCCTCTAGCTCCCCAGTGGTCTTCAGTGTATGATAGCAAGGTTCTTTGAAATTCTGAATAGCCACTGTTCACAGTTTTATATGAACTCTTTACTTGTCACCTCAGAAGCTCTCACTCCCAGTCAAGTGGTCATAGGAGCACCATGGTATGGTAGAGGCTTTGGAGAAGGTAACAAAAGCAAAACTCATCCTCTGGACACAAGGAAACCAAACTTAGGTCGGATTTGGGGCCTCTACGATATCACCTTAAAGGTCTACAAGTGCCCAGCATGGCCCGAATTATGACACAAGGCTGCATCACGGTCCAACTGAGGTGCCTTACTTGGCCAGCAGGCTCATGAGGTAGGTTGACGTGTTGGTGTCCAGTCTCAGGGGAGGCACCGTAACGTAGGCGGCCGCGTGGGACCAGTCCTGGTGGTAGTAGTGTAAGCCCGTGAGCGTGGCGTGTGCGGTTGTGGTCTCAGCCAGCACGACCTTCCCTGGAAGAAGAGGGGAGTCTGACCATCACCAGGATGCCAGTGAACCTGGGGAAGCATCGGTCTAAGCCTCTCCCTGGGCAGGGAAAGGAGCTGAATTCAGAAAGGAAGGGACTAGCCTGAGCTCGGCTGGGCGTTGGAGACCTCAGCTGGGGTCAAGGCCAGAGTGCTCCCTGGTCCCAGGAGACAGAGGTGGAAGGCTGGGTCCGCAGCGCAGTGAGACCCTGGAGGAGGTCTAGCTAGAGGAGAGGTAGGAGGCGGGATGCGGAAGGGCTGGAAGGCCCTGATTTATATCCCCAGGTTCGTGACTGTGATCTTTACACCTGTTATCAGTCCCTCATTGGCACCCCGAGCCGGGCCGAGAGTACAAGCATGGACAAAGCCTTTAAGTGTGGCCAGGTGCTCACACACACAGGTGTCCCAGGGCTGGTACACTGGGTTCCTGAAGGGGATGTCCAGCTCCAACACTGTCATTTCCCCAAGGACTTCCCAGGCATTTCCCCTTGAAATGTCCACTGGAACTCATCCAGGATTTTATGTTGGCTACCAAGGCAACCACTAGCAAAACCCAAGGGACCAAAAAAAAAATACCCAATTAATGAGTGAATTAAAAAACTTGGAAAATTTTACCAGTCTGAGATGACAGACACTTCTGTAAAGCTGTTATGCATACATGTGAAGAGGAAAACACTGATTCTAAAGGACTGACCCCAGGCCTGTGCAGGAATACAGCAGGGAAGAGAAGGGCAGGGCAGGCTCAGGGCCTGGCCTCAGGAGCTGGGAGGGAAAGTGCATGGAGCTGCTGGGCACCCCTCGCACAAGGGCTAACAGCCCAGCCCACCCTACTGACTCACCTTGCATCTTAGCAGCTGCAATAACATCACCGGCTGAGATGCTGGACACGTTGACCAGATAGATGGGACAGTGAGTCTAAACACAGGAAACATGGTGGGAAGGAGAGAGCATCAACCCCATAACTTAACAGGCATCAAGATGACCAGATCAGATTAGTCCTGGCCCCAGCACTTCCCCCTGCATCACTCAGCACCCTCTTAGGCTGATGGTCTTCTGCACAGAATGTGAGCCAGGCGGCTGTAGGCTGGAGAAACCCCACAAAACAAGGAGGAGACAGGTGGTTCCTGGCACCAGAGCACACAAGGGGAAAATCTGGGTAAGATTTCGAGTGCTAAACGTCACATTTTCTACCAGCCAACACCAAGACTATTTACAATTTAAAATGAGGGACTTCTAATTTCCTGTTCATGAACGTGAAGACCTAGATACAGTTGTGTATTATGTCCCATATCTAAAATTATGATGCCTGACATCTGAAGGCTGCTTTATCAGCAGACAGAATGTACCCTACCCTGGAGAAGAATGTTACACAAGAGGTTCAGGATTCAGTCTACATCAGACAGGACCAGTCTTACAAATGGACACCTGGATTATAACACTGATTAGCTTTTCCTCTACTGAACTGTGCAACCATGGTCCACTGTCTCACTTCTCTGAGAATACGTTCGAGCTAAAAAATGAGGAATTGCCCTTTTGTTGTTCAGATCTTTCCTTATTCTGGGGTAGTTTCCACCAGGAAGTAATTGCTAGCATAATTATTGTTATAACAGTAAAATTATGTCCTTGTCCAGCTTCTAGACTTAAAAAGGGCTAATGGAAAACTTTCCCCAAATGTTATTCTAGTGCCTTCTTATCAAATTAGGAGGATAGAGAATTTAGGAACTGGCCTGACATTTGAGGTGCTTGGTACAAGTTTCCCAACTAATTCTGAAACCAACTGGACCTCTGACTTTTGTGTTCCCCTGGTGTCCCTAACACCACACCCTTCACCCTCTGCTCACAGCCTTTGAGGTAGCTCAGGCCTTTCCAGAGGAGAAGTTCTCAAGTGTGAGTGCCCATTAAAATCATTAGTGGGCTTGTTAAGACATGGATTGCTGGGCATCACCTCCAGTTTCTGATTCAGCAGGTTTGGACAAGCCTGAACATTTGTGTTTCTGAGTTCCTATTTCTAAAAAACTATGTGGATGCAGCTAGTCCAGAGACCACACTTAGAATACTAGTGTTTTAGAGAAGGTAATTCAGATTATCTGAGCAAAGGGAACCCTCTAACAACACTTCAGGAGAGGAAATGACCTTGATACAGTGTTCTACTGGGTATAAAGTGCTTTTCCTTCCATGATTCCTTTGATCCTCACAACCCTCCTGTAAGGAGTGGGTGATAACATCACTCCAATGAAATAGTCTATTGGAATGGTTGATTGACTGGCATGTGACCGGAAACTTGTCTTTGGTCAAGGCCCCACGTCTCTTGCTGGTTCCCACCACCACACTGCATCAGTGCCCCCTTACCCTGAACTGTACCAAGAAAAAAGTCATGAATGGCTGAGAGCTAGAGGTCTGAATCGTGAATCTCTAAGTAAATAACTTTGTTCCTCTAGAAGCAAGAGGTTCCAGTTGCCATGAGGCTCTGTGGTCCCCACCTTGCCTCACCTCCCTTGGGAGTCGTTTCCACTTGAGCAATGAACCAGATGTCAGTAAACTCAGTGGGGTGGAAGAGAGAGCCAGTGGCAAGGAGCGCTCCTGTCATGGCTGTGGGAATGACAACGTTCATCCAGCAAATGATGTCCACTTGGGGTCTTGTGAGCCAGACCTGGTGGTAGCGCCCAGAGGAGACTGGGACTCCACTGTCCAGGTTGGTTTCTGACCCCAGAGCTGAGAACGGGCTGAGAGGGAGCTGGGGTCTACTTACTCTGTTTGCAATGGTGATAACTCGGTGAGTAGCTTCTGCTTCCAGCTGTTAGGAACAGAGGAAAGGAAGAAAACAAACTTCATCATCTCCTCAAGCAAGCTTACCTCTGCCTGATACCCCACCTTGTAGAAAGTGCTGGAATGTCTGACTCAGAGCTGGAGGGGCTAACTGAACCCACAGGCACTGGCCTGGGAGGAAACCCTGAGCAGGGGCATCAAGCTCCAGAGCAGGGGCATCAAGCTCCAGACACCTCCGTTCAAACCGAGAGCATCCCAGGCCTTAGTGTTCCAGGCATGTCTTCGCCGGATGCTACTCAGGGCTTAATTCAAAGGCAACAAAACAAGGGCAAACAAAAACATCTCCATTGGTTTCTGGTGCCTTCTCTCCACAGCCGTCTCAGAACTGTAGCAAAGGAGCAACACTGATTGATTTTAAGCTGGAAATTAGCCTAGATCAGGATTTCTGAACCTTGACACTACTGACATTCTGGGTGAGATAATTCTTTGTGGTGGAGGCTGAATGGACATTGTGGGCTCTTCAGCAGCAGCCCCTACCTCTACCTACTAGATGCCAGTAACATCCTCCCCCTGAGTTGGGATAACCCAAAATATCTGAAGCTCCAATACTTTAGCCATCTGATGCAAAGAGCCGACTCACTGGAAAAGACCCTGATGCTGGGAAAGAGTGAAGGCAGGAGGAGAAGGGAATGACAGAGGTCAAGATGGTTGGATGGCATCACTGACTCAATGGACATGAGTTTGAGCAAGCTCTGGGAGATGGTGTAGGACAGGAAAGTGTGGCATGCTGCAGTCCATGGGGTTGCAAAGAGTCGGACATGACTGAGTGACTGAACAACAAATTATCTCTAGACATCACGGAATGTCCCTGGGGAGCAAAATCTCCCCAGATGCTCCCCTTTAATCAGTAGATGAAGATGGTGGTAATTCTTGCTTTTGTTACCACTACAGTCAGTGCCTTACTCCTCTCCTAGCAGAACTCCACAAAGGGCAGTGCTGTGCCCATCACCCACCCACCCCTGTTCTCACAGGCACTCTCAGTGCATTGCCTTTATTGAAGTTGGTGTGTCTTTCTCAACCAACTCTGAGGTGCCCAGGTTGGAGCTACATTCAAGGGCTCGGACAGACAGGGACAGACCCAGGGCCGGAGTAAGGTGGGCTGACCCAGTATAAGCTGACTTAGTTCCTGTCAGATGGTAGAACCATCACATCCTGTCTCCAGCTCTTCATCCCTCAAGGCTTCCCCATTAATCCTTCATGGGCATCCAACCATCACTCTGCATTTAAGGCTTTGAAGAAACAGAAAATAGCTTTCCCCTCACCAGTGCTGGGGGATATCTGAACAGGGCCATAGGGCAAGAATGCATTATTTATCTAATGTGATCCTCCAGAGTCAAATTCTTCAGAAAATGGGAACTGGAGGGCATTTGTGTCAACATCCTGCAAAACCATGCAAGGGTAAAATAAGAGGGCAGAGGAAAGGCAGGCCTCAGTTACCATTCTCAGCAACAAATAGGAAAAGAGGGAGAGAGCACACACATGTGCCTCTTGTTTCTAGTGGGAACAGTCCAGAGTTTTCCTCAGACACTCAAAGGGATCTCAGCCCCCAAATGCTGATTCACTGGCTTATAGCCTGGAGTTTCTTCTAGCATCTGAAGGCTCTTTCAGTCTGTCTTTTCTCTCCCAATTTAATTTTGGCCACTGCAACCCCTGGCATGCTCACATGGCGTCTCTCAGACCCTTGACATCAGAACCCAACCCAGGCGGGGTCTGTTTCCCCAAAGTGGTCTTCCCCAGGGAAGTTCAAGGCCTGGCTAGCGGTAGCAGAGCAGCAGCATAGTAGTAGTATTAGTTGCACACTCCTGTCCGACTCTTGGCGACCCCATGGACTGTAGCCTGGTAGGCTCCTCTGTCCATGGAATTCTCCAGGCAAGAATACTGGAGTGAATTGCCATTGCCTTCTCCAGGGGATCTTCCTGACCCAGGGATCGAACCCAGGTCTCCCACATTGCGGGCAGATTATTTACCATCTGAGCCCCCAGTGAAGTCCCAGCTGTAGCATGGAGGAGACTGCTCCTTGGGAAGCTTCCAGATGGGAATTTCACCCATGGAGAAAGCAATACCATACAACCTGTATTCACTGATGTCTCGTGCATCCTAAAGATTCTATGAATCTATAGGAAGGACGTTGACAAAGAACGCAGACGCCTTTCTCACCTCTTCTGGACGGCTGATCTCAATGCCTTCTGGGCCTGTGATACCCAAATCTAGTGCTTCCTTTGCTCCCTGAATAATAGCAAAAGAAAGAAAATTGAGAGAGAATCAGAGAGATACAAAAAACATAATCCAAGGGACTATAAAATATGCTCAGCTCAGCCCATGTCAATAGGCTTGCTGCTTTTCTCACTTCTGTAATACTCATCTTCTAAAAAGGGCAGGATTAATACAGGGCTCCCTTGAGACTCACTTCATAATGATTGAAAATATTTTTTTCCTCTTAGAAATACAGTTCAGTCATCAGCCAGCAGGACTGGGACACTAAAGACAAGCACTCTTTATTGATCTGAAAAATCAGAATTTCCTCACTGGAAATCTAGTTAAATCTCCAGCTTCTAGAAATGCCTAGATTAGCTTTCACCCCAAGTGTCCTACTTAAGATCCAGGAGTAAAACGGGGTTTGTCTGTCTTGGTCCCAAGAAGATCTCTCTAATACCTCTGCTCCTCTGAGGAGGTCCAGGAAAGTGGAAGGCTGACTCTTATTTATTCTGTATGTCACATCTCATTAAAAATATTTCTTAGAGATGCTCCACATTCCTTTGTGGTAACCAAATTTAAATATCATATTAGAATGAAGACATTATCATTCAAGACTTAGAAACCTTTTTGAACTACAAAGGAAGATTTGTTTTTTTATAGACGCCAGAAAAGTTTGGATTTTTGGGCAAAGATCTGTCATCTGGGGTGTTAACATCTCACACTTTCTTTTAGAATTTCTTATAGAATTTGTTTTATCTGAACCCTGTAGGATGGGTCACGGGTGGTCAGGAATTCCCCTGAGAATTGGTGCCCCGCCCCCTCTTGCCCAATATTCTCTACTGCCTTGCCTCAGCCACGAGCTCCCCATTTTCAGCATGGACTCGGGCGATGGCTCCAATATCCTTGCAAGCATGAAACACTTGGTATAGTTCACTGTCCCGAAGCATATACAAGTCCTTGTAGGTCATGAACATCTGAAACGAGTTGACTCCCTTCTCCCTCACCAGGGTCTCCATTTCCACTTTCACCTGGAGAGCAAAACGCAAAGGCAATGTCGCGTGAGTACAGATTATCAAGAGGCTGGCTGGCGGATGCTGGCCCAGCGTGGAGCAGAGGTAGCTCAGTGGATGGAGTTGCCGCATGACCACCCGTAACCTCATAGTATGTCACTCTCCTCCCACTCCACAGGCTGCTGTGAGGTCACGTGAGCAAATGGATGCGGAAGTGCTTTGAAAATTGTCCAGCATGCTACAAATATAGAAACGCTATCTGGGCATGTTTCTCATATCACATGAGCTTGTCTATGTTTCTGTCTCCAAATCAGCCTTGTTGGTAAATGCACTAATGACTTTCATACCTTGGTCAGTTCCCTCTATCGCCATAATGGAAGGGGTGTTACAGAGAAGGCATACTGATACTAAAAATCCAGAGACCTAGGGAAAAATATAATTTAGGGACGAAGCCAAACATGAAATAAAGCTATGTGAATAAGGAGATTGATCCCAATACTGTTTATACTAGGGGAAAAAATAGAAGAAATACTGGTCTGACAATAGGTAAATAAATTGTGATTCATCTACTTGACAGGACACTAGGTGGCCATGGCATTGATGGTCATGAAGACCATGCAGCCAAATGGAAAATGCTCATACTTAAAGCAAAAGAGTTACTATGTAAAAAGCAGGTATGAAAAAAGACCAGAAAGAAATGAGCTAGAATAGCAATAGTCATTATACTGGGGGGTGACTGGATTATGAACTTCTTTTCTTTTCTATTTTTAAAATCTGTAATTAGAAAAAAATTTTGATTACCATAGAAAAGAATTTAAAATTCTAGATACATGAAAATCCCTACAATCTTTGGGGACTTAGGGATGACTGGCTTGGCCTCAATGTTGAGGATCTGAGTGGATCCTTGATTCCAGTCTCTTGCTGGGGGAGGGAAGGGAGAGAGGCTCAGGGTAGGAGGGGTCACCCACCCAGGAGGGTATCCGAATTGGACAAAACCTCCATCTAAGGTAAAGAATGGCTGACATTCAGTATAGATGGCATCTTCTGCCCGATACCAGGAGGGGAGTCTTCCCGTGGGAGGTGGGTGACTCTGCAGCCTTTCATGAGCACCCTTTTGGAAGTAATGGGCGAGACTGGCTGAATCTCACGATCAAGGCTTATACTCAAGGGCAGAAGTGCAGTCAGGCTTTTAGTTACCAGCTCAGAAGGGAATCAGGCTCTTTAGGTCAGAGTCCCCAGCTGGAGAACTTTGTAAAATCTCTTAATACTTGTTTATTTTTAAGATCCCAGGGCACCCACTCAAGTACTGGCACATGGTGATTAATGAACACTTGATGAAAGAATGAATATTCGGTCTGCGTCCCCGGGGGCAATAAGCAGTAAAAACTCCAGAAGTGAAGCAAAATCTAAATGCCTGTGAATCTGTTTTCAGGAAGAACAAGGAAGTGGGAAGCCAAGGAGTGGGGCTTGGACTCTGGCCCTGGGGCCTGGGCAACCGGAGGTCAGGATAGCCAGGGGCACAGAGGCTGAACTGACACAGGGCCCAGTGGGAGGTGGCCTCAGGGTGCTTAGAGCAGGAGCTGGGACCCGGAAGGAAAGAAGCACCCATTCTTTCTGGGTAAGATGGTAAGATCCATTCTTAACAGGCGGCACTGAGCCAGGACAGGACCCTCTGTTCTGAGACCTCAGTGCTGTTACTTCCAGCACAAAATGATTCGACCCTGGGGGCTGACCCCGATACTCAGCAGCGACCCCTTCGGTGTCAGTGGTACCTAATGTAAAGCGTCAGGACACGCTGACAGCCTGGTGGTCAGAGCAAGGAGCTGGTGCTCCCTGTGTATGTGCTGGAAAACTGGCTTTTTAAATTAAGTGAGACAGCCCCCGCCACAGAGAATCTTAAGTGTTTTTTGTTTTAGCATTTGGGGGAGATAGGATGCTGGCGGGAGGGGCATTCCTCACTGTAGGAGAGTGTCACCCACAGCTGGCTCCCACCAAATGGCCCCTCCGCCAATAAGAGCACTGGTTCTCCTTTCAGGGTTCCACCCAGCACTGTTACCTTGGGAGCCCACCAGGTGATCCCCACGTGCAGGGCATAGTCACAGCAAACCTTGGGGTCGGCCAGACCCCGGCACTTCTCGTAGGCTTCCACAAGGGAGGTCTCCTTGTCAGGCAGGACATGGCCAATGATCATGGTGGTGCCTCCGACGAGTGCTGCCTGAGGGAGACGGGAAAAGCCATCTGGTTACATCTCTACCCACATCTGAGTCGCTGCATGGGAAGACACTGGGTCCTCAGGTGGACATTCAGGACAACCACTGACTCTCCCACACAGGAGGCAGGGAGGCCCAAGTGCAGCAGTGTTCGGGAAACTGCGAGGAGCTGGAGTTCCTGGGTTGCACCCAGGAGCCAGTGTATAACCTACATCATTACTGTGGATCCAACACACAAACCTGCTTCTTCCTCATCTTAGGTTGTGGCTCGGTGCTTTGGAAAAACCACTTAGTGTGTTTCCTCAGCCTCTATTTGCCAATGAGACAATTCCCCCCAGATGGTGTCTGACCAACTTGAATATATGAGTGAAGTCAAGTGAACGTTGCTCAGTTGTGTCCGACTCTTTGCGGCCCCGTGGACTATACTGTCCATGGAATTCTCCAGGCCAGAATATTAGAGTGGGTAGTCTTTCCCTTCTCCAGGGGATCTTCCCAACCCAGGGATCGAACCCAGGTCTCCTGCATTGTGGGTGGATTCTTTACCAGGTGAGCCACAAAGGAAGCCCTGAATATATAGATGAGGTAATTGTATAATATTATTTGTAATATTATCTAGTTACAGATATACATGTAAACCATAATGAAATTATAATAATATTATTTTAGTTACAGATATATATGTAAACCATAATGAATAAAATATTAATTTGAATATATTGTTTTGTTTTATTCTCTCACATTTCATTAAGCAATTCTGGTCAAAGTTTTTATACACATTTCAAATCGTTATCTTTGTTTTCAGTTTTTCCAAGAACATTAACTTTATCTCCGTTTATTTGTTTGAGATAGCATTTTAGGTCCCTGTATGATTTATCAGTGAAAAATTACCTAGGTGTGATCCCTGAGTCAGGAAGGTCCCCTGGAGAAGGGAATGGTAATCCACTCCAGTATTCTTGCCTTGAGAATCCCACGGACAGAGGAGTCTGGAGGGTTACAGTCCATGGGGTTGCAAAGAGTTGGACATGACTGAGCGACTAACACTATCCCTATCATTTTGAAAATATTTTGATGCAGAGTTTTTACCTGTACCATAGGAATAGCTTCCTTATTGGATGGCTGTGAAAGTCAAGAGAAGCATCACTTTGTAACGTTTTGTCCTAATATGTGTGTGTAAGTATTCAGAATTTAGTTGTTTGTCCCTGTTTTCTGTATGGGAGGGAATCAGCCCAATGAGACTGTCTTGACAATTTCATGCTTCTCTCTTCAGTTAAATCCTTCATCACAAATCAGAAGTATTGCTGGGGAATAAGAAACTGAAAAATATTAGTTCAGTGGCCAACAAACAATTAAAATGAAAGCTCTTGCAGCACTGATTTTCCATGCTGACCCTGGCTGGGTGGGTGGGACTTGTCCCCCTGTTGTCCTGGAAGACGCAGGGGCCTGACTTCTTTCGTAGCTTGAAGTAACCAACAGAGGGTGCTAGTTCTTTGGTTCACACATAGGAACCGTGATGTGGGAGGCAGAGAGATAGAGGAAGGGGAAGAGCACCAGATTGTAGCTTTACTAGCTGGCTTCTATTTCGGATTTGGCTGGATGGTGCCAGGCTGATTCACCCTTGTAGCAGGTGGTTGTAATCTATTTTGTCCTGAAATGCATTTCTTGCTTTTATGTGTGGACACGGGGGTGTCTGGTATATTGGGATTTTACACACTAAATTGTTTTACTTCTTCTGGGGTTCTAGATTGTTTTCCTTTGCACTCCCTCGTCCATCTGTGGCCTTGCGTCAAAAAGAAGGGAACCTGGAAACAGCACAGTGGAATAAGAGAGCCAAGACAGTTCTTAATATCTGTGGGTTTCTGAGAGTAGAAAAGATCTACCTGCTGAATCTTTAGATTGGCTCAGATCAAGCTAACAAACTGTTACATATAATATATTCTAGGCACCTACTCTGACAGATACAACTTCATAATGACTGAGAAGGCCAGGCTTGAGTTCGCAATTCTCAGAGTCCTTGCAGTTCTGAGATACACTGCAGGAGATGCTGGCCTCCAGCCTCGGTGTCTGCCTCCAGCCCACATCCCCAACCCTGGATCCATCCTGCAGCTGCAGATCTAAGCTCTGCTCACCCCTGCAAGATGCTGCCCTGGGACTTGGACACAGTGGGGGTCTGGCCCCCAAGCAGACAGATACAGGCTAATATAGGCCCTGGCAGGGCTGAGACCCATTGTCAGTGGATTCCAGGGCCCCAGAGGGTCCAGGATTTTGGGACAGTGGGCTCTGGGCCTGGAGGTCACCTGGAGTCCAGAGCTCACGGCAGAAACTCCTCTTGCCTGGGTCCAAGGATAGTAACTGAAAAGTGTTCTGGAAGGAGTCAGAAGCATCCAACAGTGGTCCTAACTATCACATTTACTGGTTGTAATCCTGTGTGTCTGCTGTGCTTTGCACCTTACCTCTGCTCAGAGAAGGTCAGGGGGCAATGGATGTGAGAGCATCTATCAGCTGCAAAGGCAAAGGGCACATAAATAGCTGGAACAGTCATTACTGCTGTTACCCCAGGCCTCAAAGTAAGTTTAACAGGAGTAAACATTCCCCCAGCTGCAGGTTTGCAGCCCAGAGCAGATGCTGGATGCATGAGCACTTGTTTCCTCCCAGGCAAGATACACACAGAGCTGACTTCTAAAATATGCACAGCTTCCACCCACAGGATGAATGCCGACAAGCTCAGTCTTCACGGGAATGTGGTATCACAGATGTGACAGACCTTTTTACTGTCATCCCACACAAAACAGCCTTATAGAAATCAACAGCAGAGCGTGACCCAATCCTGTTCCGGAGGCTTTCAGAAGGATGATGTTTACGATAATCAAAAGGAAATGTGACTGTGTGACTGCTGAATGTTCAGAACTGTGTTTATGCAAGAAAAGGAAGCTGTGAAAGATCTTTAGAAATCGGTAGAAATGATGTTCAGTGAGGCTAAGTCTCAACGGAAACAGGGGTGATGCTATAATGAGTGAAAAAGGCAGCATTCAATATGTGTACCCAAGATGCTTTAGAAGTGTGTTTAAATACACACACACCCACACAAAGAAACAAAATGGAAGGAAATATGCCAACACATTAACAATGACTGTTTTGGGGTGATGAGATTCTGAGTAATTTATTTTTTTTCTAATTTTCTGAAATTTCTCTCTTATACTATATTACTTTCATAATACACATAAAAATAAATTTGAGGGAAATTAAAGCTATTTAAAATTTAGTCAGCCATGTTTATGTGCTTAAAATACTTTCTTTTAAAGTTATGAAACATTTCAACCATACAGTAAAAGTACAGAACATAATACAACACATACCCATGAACCCATTACTCAGATTTAACAGATGCTAAATTTTTACTGTATTTACCTTACATATTTTTTAATTAAAAAAATGAAAGAAAATGTTTTCAATATAATAGGAGCTCTTCATCTTAAAATTTCCATCCCTCAACCCTGAGGTTGATATAAACTTCTCCCATCCATGTTTTACGCTTTCACTGTATTTGCTTTGCAAATTAAAAAAAGGTACACAAATGGTTTTATAACTTCCGTATTCTTTTGCAACTTGCTTTTTTAATTTGACATCTTCAAGATTCATTTAAGTACAGATATTTCATTTACTTTAATTAATTCACTGTATGAACACTCCTCCGGGCATGTATTCATTACTGAGTTCAGGGACATTGCTATGCACTGTCCTGGCGCATCCTCACCCACACCAGGGCAGTCCCCGCATTCAGGGTATATATTGCCATGAAGTGGGACTGCTGCTTCCCAACACATGAGCATCTCTAATCATGCCAGACTCGACCATGGAACAGCTAACTCAGCAGGGCCTCCTGGAACCTGGTGGCTGACCAGAATGGCCCACTTATCAACCCAAGCCCTTATTTTTTTTTTTTTTGACATAAACTACTTTCCAGCCAAGCATTCCCCACTGTGCATGTGACATTCATTTCTATTGTGAATGTAGATATGACATCTCTCACTCCTGAGTTAATATGGACTTTAGGACCATTTGTTTAACCAGCAGACACAGCATCATTACATCCATTTGGCAGGATATGAAACAGAATTTTACTACTTCAAAAGGTTGCCATTATTTTATTTTTGATATTGATGACACACTGCTGGGTAAATCTGGATTGATTTGATGCCCAGTCATATCACTTCCACTTGCCCCTAAGGAAAACCAGTCTATGTAATAGTGATCCATTTTATGACACAGTTTCCAGGCATACACTTGGCAGGAACTCATACTGAACTCAACCTAAACCTGTTGTTATAAATGTCATCTTTATGCTTCAGTAGTTACAGACCACTGTGGGCAGATCACTGTGGGCACTCGGGGGTCTTTGTACTGACCATGGACCTGCTCAACAAGTTGAAAAGAAATTTCATATGTAATTTATTTGCTGATATCACAGAGTTGGATAGAACAGTGCCTTGACTTTTCCTGATTTTGTCAGGACAAATCTGGAGGGTCACTCTCTAGCATCTCCTACATTGATGCAGGTGTAATCACATATTGCTGAGTTCCCATCTCCTACATTGTTGCAGGTATGATCACATATTGCTGAGTTCCCAGTAACAATATTTTTCTTTTTTTTCTCTATCCCTCCACTCTGCACCCCAAAGGAAAAAGTTTGATTCTCTAACTCCAAGGCCAAGAACCAACAGGTCAAGACACAAACTTAGTACCCTGGTGTTGAGAAGGCACTTGGGCCTGAGCTTATCTGTGGGGTTTTTCATTAGGGATGAGGGAAGGACTTCCTGGATCATATTTTCATACTAATGCTCAGAAAAGGGGGGTATTTGGGGGAGGTTATTAGAATCAGAAGAGCTAGATCTGCTACTATCTAGATGTACAGATTAAGGGCAACTCAAATTTCACAGAGGGAACAATCCTGCACTGAGAATCAAATAACAATTTTTTTTTTTTTTTTGCTGCATGGTCTTACTTGCCC